AAAGCAATCTGGAGGTCAAAGATGATTGATCCCCACGCCACTTGACAGAAAACCATGAGGTTGAAAGACTCTTGGTGGCTGAAGCATGAGGGGTGTCATCAGTGGATGTATGTTTGTAGGCTGCGGCCTTCAAGCAACAGCTCAGCACTTATGTGTCTAGCCCTAAGGGTGAGGCAGAAGTGCCAAGTTTTTGCTTGAAAGGGGGGTTTTTACAAATTTACATTTATTTAATTCAGCATATTGTATTTGAAATCTTCATGAATTTGATGAGAAATTTATCTATTTGAATCCTTGAAGGAATTGATAATCTGAGGGAATGAAGGAAAACAAGCATTCAATATGAGTATTGGTATGGCAAAGTGATTGATATATGATCACATGTCAATCCCCAACTGGAAGTCCAGTTGAGAATGGGATACTTTGCCAAAACTCACCTTGGTGCACTCAAACTCAAAACACACACATAGTGGGTCACTTGAGTTTTCTTGTCTCATATACCATCAACTTGTCCTCCTTAGTTTTATTTCATGCTTAGGTTGACATGGGTCCTGGAGAGCAAACATCTCAATTTGAACTATACTCTATCATAATTTACTAAGGAAACCACAACTGAATACAGCTACAGGATCTCTGAGTACATATGTTGTCTTATGCCTTGTAAGTCATTCCTACATTTCCTCCAAGAATCAGTCTTATGGGATCAATGGTAAACAAATGAACAAGCTCCAAAATCTAACATGACAAATGGTACTTCCCCCAATCTCTATTCTTAAAACTTCCTAGTAATCAAATGTGCAGTGTCACATAGTCAGAAAACTATGCACAAAATAAATCATCCAGCTTTTTGCACAAAAACAACTCACATCACAGTCACTTTTTGAATTTGTGCAGTCTGCGTTTTGTATACCAACTCACAGGAATAACCATCCCTATAATTTGCTGTTTTCCACATGAAAGAATAGTCTTCATCTGTTTCTTGTCCATCTATATTCATAGAGGAAATAATCAACAGCTCTTGACACATTCTGTAAATTGATGTCTATATTTTGGGCTTACGTTTTTCTACCAAGTTCTCATATGGGGTGCGACTCTTGTAATCGCCTTGATGTGCTCTCTCTTTGAAGGCTATCCATCAATTATTGATGTTCCACAAATAGAATGTTTATATTATCAACTTTTACAATACACACCATCCCTGCAGAAAGTTTATGGTTTCCTGAAATTCCTGAAAAGCTCACCTTCAAGTCTAACTGGGCTATTGTTGACTAAGATACATGCATCATCAGCAATGAGATGGTCAATATCTTCCCCCTTGCCTTGTATTACAAGGTCCCTAATTTCTGCAACAGCGTCTGGGACATTGCAACACAATTCCGTGTCACCAGAAAAATCCACATCCAATACCAGTTCTGCTAGTCAGCCGCTGAACCACAAGAGGTTTCCAAGTTCATTTCAAGACTTACTGGGGAGGGGTGTTACACTGCTTGAGTGTATCAATGCAGAAAACATTGATGTAGTGATTAGAAACCAGAACCGTTTGTTAAACATATTGAGCAACGCAGAAGCCAAGTTTTATTTTCAACTATATGGAAGATATTGAGTAGAAGGCAATTTGTACACAAGTGATTTTGATCCTATTTTGAGGGAAGGGGTGACACCTTTTTATATTGTGGTCTGTGTTCAAGACTCCCACCTTTTAAAACCTTTCTCCACAAATTTCATCTTCAAGTTTTTCATTTTTTCTTGATGTGCTGTTTCAGCTAATCATACAAGATATGCAATCTTGTATAGCTAATAATCTTCTGAATTCACTGTGTGCTACCCTTCCATTTGTGCTTGCAGTGTTTCTTGAGAAAAAATGCTCCCAGTGAAAGCATATCTGTCTGCTGTGATGAGAAAATCTCAAATTGTGAAGGTATCAATGGGAAAGCAGAGATCATCTGGGTGGAATCAATGTTCAATTTGAAGATTCAAAAGTTTTATGAAAGTCATTACTAATCAATGAAGCAAGTTCCAAATCAAAACAAATCAACAAATTACAGTTATAACAAGTTTGCAAGTTCATACATCAAAAGAACTAGCCCAATCAGCGGCGGGTGCTGCATCATTGAATGATGTTTGATCAATTCACATTGCCACCATATTTGTATCTGCATTAATCTGATCCACCACCCAACCTAGAATCTTTCATGCAAACAGCCCCAGGCACAGACACATCACACAATCAATTTCTTATGACGTACTAAACACCCCAATACATAATTGTAGCTCACAAATAAGCTCAAGAATTTTGACACAAAAAGCAGAAGACACAACAGATTACTGTGAACCCCTGACCCTGAATGCATATTCCCATCAAACACAATGATGTGTACATACAAATTGCATCCAATAATTTTACATCACAATCAAAAATCACCATGGGGAATCAGCCTTGGTTTTGTGTAACTTCACCAAAATATATTCAAGACATTTATTTATGATTTTTTTGTTTAATATACTTTTATTCTCTTCCTTTTTTTCCTCTTCAACTCAGATATATGATATGTATAAACCTTTTTAAATACAAAAACAAAAGAAACCCTGCATAATAAGACTTCACAAAGTTGATCAACTCTTCCAAAATTTCAAAAGAAAATACTCAATTATCATAAGTGGCTCTGAAACCTGCCCCAGTTTTCAAAAAACCTGGTTGACCCAGTGTGACTTTTGGCCAAGAGCTGTCAACAAATGTCAACTTGAAGCACAAAGTTACCGCCAAAAAGTCAACTGGGTCAACTGGGTTTTTTGAAAACTGGGTCAGGTTTGAGAGCCACTATACATAGAAATCAATCTTGATATTTTGCATCTCCAACACTCAGGTCTTCTTCTTAAAACAGAACAGATGTCATTGTCACTCAACCCATTCCCATCAATCCTCAACCCTTTCCTCATAATTCCATGGTCCTTGATTTTTTCTCATCAAAACAAATTTCACAAAATTTGAAAATATTCCACTTAATTTCTTTGATGAACCATTTTCTGAAGATGTAATTCTAATAGCATGAAAAAATCTATCCCTGCAGATTTCACTAAACTTTAAATTTTCTTCTATTTTTTCAACACAATGATTTTCATCAAACTATAGTTGATGACCACCATCTGAAGTTAAATTTCAGTTGTTATCACCTTTAAAATAGTTTCAATCAACATTAAATTAGATAATTCTCGCCTAATTTTTGAGTATCATTTTTGTTTTCTTTTATGGACTTATTTATTTACTTTCATGAGTCCAGATTGTGAAGAATTTAATTGATTCAGGTGTTAAGTTTAATCTTGTGAAATTTCTTCTTGTTCTTCTGTGGTAGTACTGGGTTCTAAATCCCACTGCCTAGAAATCAAAAAAAACAAAAAAAAGATTGAAGATCCGGACTTGATGTTTCAAACATTTTCATTTACTTCAACAATTAAATAAAGGACGGCACTATTTGGCAACCGGTTTTTTGACCCAACACCCGGAGGACAGATAATTGGTTATACATCACCCTATTCATGGTTTTTGGCGCCCACTTACAATTCAGCGCCCGGTAGGTAGTTTGTTTGTTTACTCTACCCATCTTCCCCAAACAAACAAAACTCTCAATCTATGTACCTCACTTGTCACTACTTGACTATGAAAAGAGAAACACTAGACCTGGGACCATTTCATTCAACAAACAAAACCAAACAAGCAACACAAGTTAAGATCATTTCATTCAAGATAAACAAGTGTGTGTAAGATACGATGGAAGAGAGACCACTAAGTTGTGAGCCAAAAGGCAAGCACCATAGCAAGAGCGAGTTGTCAGTTGTTAAAACATAATTTTAAAGTTGTATGTATAGATAGTGATTGCACGCACAAAAAACCTTGAAGGATAAACAAAACATGTGTTAGATACGACAAGAGAGAGAGAGAGACAACACAACCAATTGTCCATAGTAAGAGCAGTTCAACAGAGTTTCAAAACTCTGTTTAACCTCGCAAAGGAAAAAGAAAAAGACCTAGAACAATGAATAAAAAAAATCATTGGACAACCACCTCACACTCACTGATCCACCTACCTAGTTGATGTTGATACTGTTCAATCCAAACAGGTATGGTGGTGGAATCAAGCACGGCGCAGTCAAATCGCGAATGAGGCAAAGGTTAGATTAGGAGGATGGGATGAGAGGATGGAGGGTAGGTACGCCCGGTTTTGGTTGAGCCCGCTAATCGGAGAATACTGCCCTGTTTGGTTGTAGAGGGCAGTTGATTTTGGTTTGAGGGCGGTAGACATTTATTTGGCGCCCGTTTGCTGCGGCTGCGGCCAAATTTAGGTGTGCACGGGTCAGGGTATGCGCGGGATCCACGGGTTATGTACCGGAAATTGCGGGCTTTGGGTATTCTCAAACCGGTTGCCAAATAGTGCCGTCCTTCAATAAATTAAATTGATTGTTGATAACTTACTTTGCAGCATAAGGTATAAGTTCTGTTGAAAGACCTCTAATTAAATCTATTATGATCAAACTTTCACATCCTTCTAAACAACATGCAAATTTCTTGATAAATGGATCAAAAATCAATTCACAACTTTCATTTCATCCAATTTCTTTTCCATAAAACTTCAAAAAATGAAGTTGTTTCCTTGATTCAATTTCATCAAATAATCCAACATAAAACTCAGCCAAAAAATCAATCAAAGTTAAAATTTGGCGATTGATAAACCGCACCAACATAACAATGAATTTGACACCAGATTTCCTTAGCCCGGATTACTCTGGATTACTCTGGAGGTCATACAGGTCGGAGCTACCTGTAAAGGCTTAAGAAGACTCTGAAATGTTCTGAAGCCGGTTTTTGATGTGTTTGCAAGTCAGCTTCATCCCTTTGATTTGGTCCAAACCAATCTGACGCCCGCTTCCCATGTGTGTGACGCTGACTTCAGATATCAGTGTTAGAGTCAGATTGATTGTTGGCAAACGGCTCTCTATACGCACGATGATCAATTATTCAATGTATTTGTTAACCAATTATTCGAAGTGTTAACTTCAGAGCAAGCTCTTTGATTGTTTGATGTGTCACAAAGCTTAAGATCGCTTAAGATGTAAAAACAAGGGCAATAGCAGGGAAAGTAGAGAAGCAATCACTTATGTCGAGGCGCTATAGGTTGTGTTTTGCATTTAAACTATTTACAGACCTTAGTACATAGGTGCTTTCAGCAAATGGACGTTGCTCAACAGTTGTCAGGGAACATAGCCATCCCATATGCTCAAGAGCTATTCATTATCATCTTTCTCAGAATCAACATCTGACCTTTTGCCTCCTGTCAAATCTTTTACAATGAAATCATAATCATCTATGTTCTCTTGGTTGTTCTCATCTTCATCTATCTCACCATCCGCATCCTCTTCACCTTCTATCACAATTGGGTCTTCAAGTCTTAGTGCCAGGTCGTGGTTATCTTGGGTATGGTGGGAATTGGTTAGTGCCGTGGTACTCGAAAGATGAGGGACTGAATCAGGCGGCCTCATCAGTGCATTTGGCACATCCATGCAATTATAAGCGAAGTAGTGATCGGGCGGAAAAGATGGAGGTAGCTGTGATGAATCGGTGTCTGGAAAAAATTGATCGAAAAGGTGTTGGTTGTTGGTGTAAAAATCATGATTTAAATGTATATGTATTGGAGAACATTGGATAAGATCTTTGATCACTTGGATGCTAGAAGGAGGTGTTGTGGTTTGGAATGGTTCACACAAAACTTGCAAGCTTGCAAATTATTTCACTGGCTCTCCTATGGTACATATACATTTGTACATGGTCTTTGTATTTCTCAATCACGGCGTCAAACTTTTAGAAAGTGGGCTTCACAGCTATGTTAACACAATCTAAACCGGCTTCAGACGCTTAAAGAAGTCTTTTTTACAGGTACCGTATACTTAGCTGTTTCAGACATGAAGTCCACCTGTATGACCTCCAGAGGAATCCAGAGTAATCCAAGCTAAGGAAATCCGGTGTCAAATTCATTTTTATGTCGGCGTGGTTTATCAATTGCCTAAAATTAATGAAATTTGACTTTGATGAATGTAAAGAAAGAATGAATTACAAAATAATCATTCCATTGATTGAAAACACTTAAGATCCCTTTGCAACTAACAAAAACCTTAAATATTTTAATCTGCCACTTCAGCCAATCCTGATATTACTTTCATTTCCTTCAACCTTTACTGATATTGAATATTGAATGAATCCAATTGATGAGAAGGATTCACTCTGAAAGAAACAATTAGACAATATTGGAAAGGTGAAGAAGAGAGAAACCAATCCAGTCTAACAACAACTAACAGTATATCAATAACTAATGCTAATAATGTTATAAGAATATTGTTACAGTGAAGAGAAAGTTAGCAAACTACTATGATGTAATATCAATCACTGTCACATAGATTACATCCATAACACCAATCAATCTATATTGTGATTCAGACACATTTGAAATTCCCAAACTTTGAAGATGATAATGACAAATTAATTTTTAATAGGTTGAAATCCTCTGTATTTGATTGACTAGAGAACATGCAGGCATGCCCGCACCTGCCTTATAAAAATAAGTCTGATCATTTGTGGTACACAAATAGCTCCACTCATACAAAACTCATGGATGCAGAAGTCACATTGTTGTGTGTAATATGTATACAATTGTTTACAAAAGAGGTTACTGATGTTTTGAAACAAGAACTTTGCTATCCGCACTTTGAAGAGATGAAAATTTCTGTTGAGTTGTGTATTCCCAGGTTCATTAACTCCTCTTTGAGAAGAACTTAAAAGTTTGAGAAAGCCTTTGAGAAAAACAAAAAATGAGAAGAACTATGAAAAGTAGAAAAAACTTGAGACAAACAACTCATATTTGAAAATAACTTTGAGGAAAACAAGATGACTTGAGAAGAACAAAACAGTTTCAGAAGAACAGACGTTTGTAGCAAACACTACGCCAGATTGCACATTTACCACTGAGTTTAGAAAATTAATAAGGCATAGAAAATTATACACAAGGTGGAAGGGATCAAAAAAACATGGAAAAATAAGGGTTGCATTCCCCTGTGTGTGCCCATCATTTTGCATATTTTTACAGATTTTTACGGCAGCAGTGTATATCAGGTCAGAAACTCAGTTTATGTCCCAAACTGGCAGTCATGGAGGCATTAACCTTGTGATACCAATAAAATTGTCAATCTGGGTCAACATCTGGAATGTCTGCCCATTCTGAAAGCTACATGTTTAATTTACCAGATACACATTAGAATGAGTGGTGTGTGTCCAAAAACGAAGAAGGTACAGCAATCACCATCCCCAACAGCAAAGCTAGAAAAGCTTATAAATCTGTTCTGCAAGGGTTTTAGCATCCAAATGGAAACTGTAGATCCAGTATGTGGCTTTCGTAATGTGCAACTGCCAAATTGATCAAAAGAAAATAGTTGTATTTGTGAGTGTTGAAAAGTTTCTGCCCAAGCCTGGGTAGTTTTGGACAAAATTTGAGTTTCTGACCAAATACGCCCCAAAATCATTTTTCTATGGAACGACTTCAAAACTCAAGGTAAAAATATGAAAAAATATGCAAAATGATGGGAAATCACAGACTGATTCAACCATAATTTTTTCAATTTTGTCCTAACTCTCATGCATTGCTGAGAATTTTCTACATCTTGACTTTTCTAAACTCCACGGTAAATCATTGATTTGGTGTAGTGAAACCTGAGGAAAAGAAGAAATTGGTAAAGTGAGCATGACTCTCAAAGAACCTATATGTCAAGATGAGGCTGGGTCTCATACTCAAATCTGTATCAGAAGTTTCTTGTTTGAAGCACCAGTTTTTTCACTATAGAAAATATGTCTATTACATAAATCACAAACACAGATAGAGAGGAGATGTGATTGGTTGATTATATTGAATCCATTTGATTTTTTTGAAGTTGTAGAAAATTGTAGTTATTATGAAATTCATTTGTGCAGTAAAGATTTCTTAATCTTATGTAAAACATAGTCAGTTGATCCATTGCCATCAGTAATAATTTGGCTGAAGAGATTTGCATCTGAGACTCAAGTTTAGTCAGCCAGTTGTTGATCTTGGGCTAATCTCAAAATAATCAGGGTCAAGAATGAGATTTATTCTTCTTCATGTGAGCACATATTTTCAATCTGAGTGATTCCTTGTTGAAACTCAAAGTCAGGAGACTGAAAAACATTGTTTGAATTGAATACCGTGATTGCTTTACGTGACTTTGCTATGGAAGATGAATACTTTCAATTGAGAAACCTTTACCCTACCCTGTATGTTGATCAAGTTACAGACAATGATTGGTTTTTAAAGCTACTTAGAAAGGTTAACATGGATTAGTGAAACTTTGTACCTTCTGATTGTTACTTTAACAATTACTTGAGATGTGACTGATGGAATGTTGAGTAAGTGTTGAGTGAAACTTAAATGAAATCAAAGGAAGATTGCTGATAGTCACTGCACATGTCCTTGAAGAGTATTACCCAAATCAACAATGTCCTTGAGCTATAGGACTGCCAGCAAATGTGTTGGCCAACTCTGATAGACGTATCCATTGAAAAGCATCAAAAGGAGCAGGTCTGATCCTCTGGTGAAAGTTGCTTAAGGTATAAGATTGTTCAAGACTGATACATAAATCAGGCATTTTTTTACCTGGGCCAAAGTTCAAACAGAATCTAACACAATAATGTGAAGCCGCATCCTGGTAGCAACCGTGAGCAGCACTGGGATTTGGCTTGAGACATCTCACAAAATCCCTTGTTCATGTTGTGGGTACAAGATCAAGAATCATATTGTAACCAGATACCAAAGTTTTTGACCTCCAAATGTTTTGTCTCGTGAATCTGATTGAAAAATTGATTGACACTTTGTCAGCTGCAATTCACCATAAGACAATGAATCCAAGCCCAGGATTGAGGAACGTACAGAATCTGAGTGGATTTCAAACTACAATAGGTAGGGTGAAAGCAAAAGCCAGATTTCCAAGCTATGGTTTAGTGTGTTGAACTTGAGGTGTCAAATTCTCGCGGAAAAATTTAAGATCGACTATTTTTACAAGAGATGTGCGGATGCCTTCCGAGTCCGAAGCCAGGTGAGCTATATACAAACTTGCATCAGATACAAGGTTGGATGCCTTTGATGATGGATGCCTTTATAGAAACTGTTTGTCCAATCATTCTATTCATTGCTGTTATCCTTGGTCCTTGGATGGCTTGGTGCTTTTGCTTCGTTTCTTTAAATTCAGGAATCAGAAGGGATCACCTTGGGTCATTGGATGTGAATTCAAAATCAAAAAATACTAACAAACTATCAATTTCTCTTGTTTCATCCTCTTGCAACAGCTTGATCTGTAGCTTCTAAATCTGAACTTGATACTTTCCTAGCCAAAGATTTGTGATTGGACTTAAGTTGTAAAACAGCTTCATCAACAGCCATTTGATCGATTCCTAAGATCAGCCAAGTTTTGGAGTTTTTTATGACAAGTTGGTAAAAGGGAAGTAGAAGCCCTAGGAACTGAAGGATCATTAATTGTAGAACCACATCCAGTTTTAGGACCCACTCATATTAAATTTGTGGGTTCGATTCTATTTAATAGTTTGTCTTTATTTTTATGTTTTGAAAGAATCTGATACTAAACTTAATTGATTGTCTAAACCTGCATTAGATTTATGCCAGTTTATCCTTCTGAAATGATTTGCCAAGGCATTACACCAAAATTAGGACCATATGGTTCTGTATCTTTTGCTGCTCTTGTGATTTTCAAACCAATGTTGGAAATGAACTGACTTGTAAACACGGTTCAAACAATGTAGATGGTTTAGTTGATTTGGTTTGATTGTAACCTGATGTAACAGGTGGTAAACTTCCTTGAGTTAAATCTGCATTTGTGATAGCTGGTCGTCTTGATGCTGAAGTTAAGTTTGAATCATGTACTTTGTGGGATATTTTTAAAGGTTTTGGTTTGATTTGCTTATTGTAGCCCAAAAAAATCAGAAAACCCATCATTGGTTCAAGATTGCATGAAAATTGATACTTAAGATTGAAATATGACTAAACTGATGTTGAATTAAATTGAGAAAAAGAAGGATATTGATTTGAAGTATTGGTCCTGAAATTAGAAATAAACAATATCAGAATTCATCCAAAGTCTCCCAAAAGATTGAACTTGTTACTTACTTTGAGAGATTGAGATGAAATTGAAATTGAAATCGGGTCTCATTTGTTTGATACACTGCACTGTTCTGTAATCAAGCTCATATGTGTTCTTTGTGATGACGGCTCTATCCAGTACAGTCGATGAGGTTCACAAAGAAAGACCAGGATGCATGAAGTGAAGATGAAAAGTCAAAGACCAGAAAGCAAGAAAGTATGGAATAGGAAATAATGAGTAAGGAGACAATGTGAATTACGCGGGCGACGCACTGTAGTGTACCAGGAGTCAGGACACATGAAGTTGTGTAATCTAAGGCTGTAAAAGTCCAATTGAATCAAATCAACATGCAAGAAAAGTAAGAAAAGTAGGACAAGCGGGTGAACAACAAAGGAATAACAAAATGTAAAAGCAATATGTAGAAGGAGGAATTTGAGAAGCACAAACAGGTGACAGGTAGCCAAAAAACCAATGGACGGATAAAAAGAGGGACCAAAACTCATGGGAGTGGTCCATCTTTTTAGTATTTAGATATAAAATTCGTTCGATTTTCAAGTTGCATTGGCTAAAAGTGATTTGATCTCTGATACTTCTTGTACATTGTGTTTTAATTTCTTTTCAATCATTTCACTTAACCAACTTGAAATTTCAGTTTAAGAGAAAAAATCCTGAATTCAGTTTGACTCGTTTTCTTGTTGTGGATTTGGGTTGATGGACTTACCCACTTCCAGCATTAAAGAGGTTCCCAGATGGGAATATGGGTGGTAGGGATCATATTCCCATTCTGCTACTGTTACACAGTTCCATGTATATTTCCTGAGCAACCATTGTGATATATGTAGTCAATATTTTGAAATGTGTGTCTCAAGCTGAACAAAGTTACAGCATGTATTACACATGATTTGCTTATCTAGATGAGCAGATAACTGAGCGGACATGTATGTAGCTGATATCTAAGGATTTACTCAGATGTTTGCACATATGTAGTGTATGCTTTATGGCTCAGATGTACAGTGCAAGATGATTTGATGCTCCATTCTTCTCTCAATTATATTCCCAGCCTAGGTCATGTTCCTACCAGGGAACCTATTTAATGCTGGCAGTGACCATTGCATCTAAATGATTATATTCATTCATAGTCATTATGTTTTGGGTATCTATTTATATAAAACTTTCATGTTCTTCTATTCAATGAAGTATGTGATGAAGATACCATTCAGTATATCCAAAGAAACAAAACCAAGCAATCAGTTGAATGAATGAAACAAAGACCGATTTGAAAGGTTGGTATTTACCTTGTCCAATCAATTGGTAGATCTTTGACTATCAAAATGATACATATACCTCAGTTCGATAGGTCTCACAATAGCTTTGATTACAATTACATTAGGTAATGGAAACCAAAAATTGTCTGAGGATTCATTCACTGATTGTACTGCTTGATTGAGAGGTGAAATGTTGGAAGAGGTACCAGTAGACAATTCAGGACTGGTTGTTTCACTGGGACTTTTGATTTGGCAGGGTTCATGTGATTTCAATGGAGCGAACTCAACTGTGGGTAATTGTGAAGCAGAGTGTAGTCCAGGACTGGCTGGTTGTGATGATTGGTGAAGTCCTGAGCATCAGGCAAAGAGGCAACTGCACTCCTCCAAAGATCTTCTCAATTTTGGCCGCAGATAAAGTTTGACTAACATGAGTAGCCCAAACAGAGGTCGGATAAGCTCCAGTTGGACAATTGGGAGGAAGATTTTTGCGACCAGGAGCTCGATTGGAAAAGAGCATTTTGTGGTATGGGCCTGGTTGACTTCATTCTTTGTTTGGCTGCCCTACATTCTTGATGTTTGACTTTTAACCCCTTAAGTAAATGACCTACAATCGGTCCTATTTGAGGCAAATGCTGTTCTAATGTCATAGGGGAGGCATCTTCAGATAGAGCTGCTTCAAGATATTCTCGTAGATCGTCTGGCACCAAATTCAAATCACTAACAAGGAATCAAGAGATAATACAATCATTAGACCAACAACCAAGATAATTAAACAGAATTTAGTAAACAGGTGGAGACAATTTTGACCAACTTCATATCAATACTTTCCTTGGAGAATGCTAGACTTGAAGCATTATACTCATTCCCTGATCCCATGTAAATATCAGATACACAACTTTCATTGATCCGACCATGTGGTTGACTTTCAAGTAACTCCTTAGTTGTGACCAATAATCGAGTAACAGTAGAATACATATGAGAAGATGCGAGTGAATTGACAGCAGTCTGTGAAAAAGATCTCAAGGAAACAAACACATTCAGTTGGTTGTTGATTTGCAATCAAGATAAGTTAAAAGAACATATGTGCTACTTCAAGTACTTTGGAACAACTACTAAACCAATAACTACATTTAGCAGAAGGAGAGAAAGTGGTGGATGAACTCACAAGAAACTGTTGGATTGAAGGTGGGGTACCAGATGTAGATCCATTACGTCTTGAATGTGAATTTGAATTAGATAGTGAAGTCATTTGAAAGGGAATCAGATTGGACCAGATTTTTCAAAGGACGGTCTGGTCTTTGTGTGTTTCCAGGTTCAAGATAACTTGTCATCTTGCGGGTTGAATGAACTGTGATGCTTTTGCTGAGGGGTGTCTGTGCTCGTTATCTTCAATGGCAACAAGGTTGAAGGTAGACAAATTGCATTGCAAGGTTACAAATTCCGAAAAATCACAAAACTCGACTTCAAATCCCCCAATCAATTCAATTGATTTGAACATTTGTTGCTTCAAAGTGATCTTGTATGTTGGTTTGTTGATTGTGATGAATGTCTGTAATTTGGTTCAGGAATGGTTTTAGGATTTGGTTGACTTTAAGTTTAATGGGATTGAATTTAGCTTTGGAGCTTGAGTTTGCAGTTGAAATTGATGTGTTCTGTTGAAAGTACAGCTACTAAGAAAATTATTGGTCAATTTCCCAGATTGTGTTGCACCGGGATTTAACTCGAGACCGGACAAAACCGCAGTATCACTGTGGGAGACCTGTACAGGTCTGTCAGAAATTCTCTCTCCCAACCCATGACAGACAGATTCTAGATCATGTCAGCTTCAATACCGTAGAAGAGGACCGAGGTCCCCTTATACTTATCTTCCTGGACCGAGGTCCCCTCACTTTCCTCTACAGTCTGCCCAAACCATGTTTACATAAATTTCCCTAATCCACACTACCCTACACCTTTCAATATCCACAGTGATTTCTCTTTTGATTCAAACAACTGAACCTCACAGAACAACTTTATCGCAACAATTCTTTTGATTTCATTAGAACAACACTGACACATTCCAACTTACGGAGCTTTGGCCGGAATCACACCGTTCAAGACCTCAAGTTCATTTGCCTTACGGAGGTTCAGCCGGGAGTCACACCTTTCAAGTCCTCAAGTTCAATCGTGCGCAACACTTCTTTCTCTTTTGATCTCATTAGAACAACACTGACACATTCCAATCTTCTTACGGAGCTTCAGCTGGGAATCACACTGTTCAAGTCCTCAAGTTCAATTGTGCGCAACACTTCTTTCAATTTCATTAGACACTGACAGATTCCAACTTACGGAGCTTCAGCCTGGAATCACACCCTTCAAGACCTCAAGTTCAATCAGCCGCAACTTCTTTCGATTTAATTAGACACTGACAGAATCTTCTTACGGAGCTTCAGCCTGGAATCACACCCTTCAAGACCTCAAGTTCAATCGGCCGCAACTTCCTTCGACTTCATTAGAACAACACTGACACCTTCCTATTCCTATCAGGATCCTTACGGAGCTTCAGCCGGGAATCACACTGTTCAAGTCCCCAAGTTCAATTGGCCGCAACACTGCCTCTGCCTGGTTCCGATAAACACTAATCTTCATTCAAATCATTCCATTATTTCAAATCAAGCGAATTTATTGATTCAAACCCTTATTTCGATTCAAGCACTTCTTTCAATTCATTGTTTCGATTCAAGCAAGTGTCTCTTGAGTTCGATTCTTTCGATCGAATCCCTGGCTTCGAATCAAGCACGTCTTTTGACTCTTTTGAACCTTTTCAGCACATTTATACCGAAGACAATTTCTAGAAATCATATGGACGTTCAGGGGGGACATTCTCACCCTTGTTAGAAGAATCCAAATTAAACCAACAGGAATTTCTTTCAATCCTAGGCCTCTTCGATATCAAATCGATGCGCTCAAAATATTGAACCAAATTTATTTTCTAGCTCAGTGCGTCTGACGCAGTCTCAATCACATTAGCAAATCAAAGTGACATTAATTCAGAAGTTAAATTCCTCTTGGCAAACCGGAATCAATTTTCTTTCAGGGCTTCACCACTTGGAATTCAACCAACTTAGCAACCAGCCAAAGAGACGGCTCCCTATAAAAGCCAGCCTATCAACCCACCTTCATCCTTTCCCTCAAGCTAATTTCTGCTGTTGCTTTGATATATTCAAACTCTTCATTCTTCAACCGCTTACTCGCATAACCCTCATCTTCCCAGTGTTGGTTCATTCAATTCCTTTCTTGGGTTACATGTTACACATTAATTCATACTGCTTTTCGTATTTTTCTTGCAGGCCAGACTTGCCTTATTTTTGTTATATCCCTTAATCAGTAACATCTTTTCGTCGTTTTCCTTTTTAGTCTTTGCTCCGCTCATCATCTTTTGCTTTTTTGTTTCCTTTATTTTAGGAATGTCTCAAAGTTCTCAAGTTTCTAACAGCTCCCAAGGCTCGGTTGTGTCCGCTCTAGGAGCCGCTGGGGCACATAATCAGGGTAAGCAACCTAATCTTGCTGTTTTTATATTCTTACTGATCTCTTCTTTCAGTGTGTCCAGCCTCTAAGTCAATGGTAGACACCAAAGCAGGCGACGACACCCCAGCCCGCTTGATTTCTCAGCCCCTATATAACCCAGGAACCAATAATTGCGCCGCTTTTGACAAGAAGCACAAGGTATCAATTGTGGTGGTATTCAAAATACACACGCAAAGCAAAGTTGACCTGGTCCCCCTGGCTGCTCCAACTAACATCGCCACCCGCAAGTCGACTAGCGCAACCAGCAAGTTGCAAATCCTTGAATCAAAACTTTTCAATGATGGTGAACTGATCAAGCTCAAAGTGTGTTTATATGGTTTGTCCTTGAAAGAGTTCAAGGCCAAATGTGGTGGCATTTGCGATGCTTATGCACCAGGTATGAGCAATGTAATCTTAGCCAGCGAGTTGGCTCTGTCAGTGACTTGGAAAGGTACTGTCGGACGTCCAAAGGTGACTTTACGTGGTCATGCGACTTGGCAAGAATTCACTGATCTGCTTGAGGCCTCTAAGAAAAAAAAGGGTTCAATCTTGATTGAAACCAAAAACAAATCAGCAAAGGCTAAAAAATTAGCTCAAGTAAGTTTTGCTTTTTTCTATTATCCTGATTCTTATCCTTTCCTCTTCTTATCTTATTGCCTAAAGTTAATCTCCCAATATCCTTTTATATGAGTGCGGCCAAGAAGCTGATTGCTTCAGCAACGGGTCCTGGCCCTGCAAGTGACGCTCTTGCGGAGGCTCATGCCCGATTAGAGGTAAGCAGTTGTTTGTTTCAATCTTTCTTTTGTATATCAGCGTGCTGATTTGTATTCCTTATGTTTGTCACAGGCCTCCAAACAAATGGTGGCTTTGCATGCACTGCCAGCATAGATGCCTCGGGTTGAGAAATCCGAGGCATCATCGGAGGCAAATCCTCGGACAGACCTTGTCTAAGGTTTTTGCCCGAGGTATTTTTTTGCCCTGAGAAGTACCTCGGATTACAAAATCCGAGGTAAATATGTTGAGGGTGATGAGGCCTGTGCTGAAATTTATCGCAAGTATGCCAAGGAGGGGAGTGGTGGAGGCGATGGAGCCATTCTAGTGGCTACATGGGATCCCCACTTCCATTATTGATTCACCCGCCGGGCCGCATTTATCTGGGCCAAGGCAAAAGTAAGCTTGTGTTTTTCTTCTTGATCAAATCGTGTTCATTCTTTGATTCTTCTATTGATGTTTAGGCAGCAGGAATGGCCACGATCCACATGCCTCCCAACACTGCTGAATACAAGAACGAGATGATCAAATCTTGTGTATTCCATAAGGACATGGATGTCAATGATTGTGTTCTTCAGCGTGGTCTCAACAGATCCGCTCGTAGGTCTGCCGCCCGATCCAACTGATCCACCCGCGGTCTTCCCAGTCGGAACTCTGACATCAAACCGGTTGTGTCCACCTCGAAAGGATCCGGAAAGGGAATTATCAATCTTTGCACTTCTTCTCCTGACAAGCAGAAGCCCATTTTCGCACCTCTTCCTATTCCAACTGTCAAACGCAAGACTCCTGACATTAAGCCTAAGAATTGTTTTGCACCTCTTCGTCTTCCTTCTGTCAAACACGAGACGCCACCCCTTCAAAACACACCTACTCGAGTCGGTGGGGAGGCCACCAACTTAGCTTCATCTTCACCCTTGCCTAGCTTCCACTTGAGCGACTACGAGAATTGGCCACCGGTTAGTCCCCGCTTGAGTCCGCCCGTCATGAGTCCGAAGAAAGTTAACAGGCCCCAATATGGTATGATAGCGATTTCTCCTATCTTTTTTATTGATTCTGAAATAAATTTTGGATGGCTAATTTTTCATTCCTCATCATGTTATTCATGTCCAGCTACAGGTCGATCCACCGCTGAGGGCATCTGGTTTGATAGCCCCATGGATTCAGATGTTGATACATCTGACACCTCGGATGGGCTTGACGTCATTGCCTCCCATGAGGCAGCTCTCGAAAACTTTGTATACTTGGTTGGCGTGCCGGCCAAAGATGTCACAACACAGTTGAATCTAGCCAAAGCAGGAGTTGAGTGTTGGATGGATCTCATCCCCTCGGTCAATATGACCGAGGCCACTTTGGTGGAGCACGGCATTGAGGCCAACTTAGCCGCGCGGCTCCTTGCAGCAGCCCAAGCTCGTGATGACCAATTGTATTGTAAGTTTTTATTTCTGTCTCATCACTTTCAATATCATCTTACTCACCTTAACGTTTAAATAATCTCTTCAGCTCGCACGATTCCAGAAACCCCTCAATAAGCGGGCTTCTTTGATTAGTTCGGTTTTTATTTTGCGTCCTCTTTACTTATATTTTCTCTCCCTTTGACATCTAGTCTCTTATGTTGGTTTTGTGTGATTGAAATTTTTCTAGTTCTTATCTTCTTGACTTCTAGTCACTCGTTTAAGTTATAATTTTGGGAGTATTGTTATTTTGTTTTCATCTTATCAACTTATAGTCACTCGTTTTGGTTCATTTGTTCCTTTTTTGTTTTGTCACTTTTTTGTTTTGTTCGGTCTATTTTTTTTTCTTATAGTCACTTGTTTTGCTTCATCTCGATTAGCCTTTTTTTAGAATTTTCTAACCTTGGTTATCTTAACTGCTTCTAGTCACTTGTTTAGGTGGTTTTGGAACCTCTGATATTGATTGACTCGTTTCAGCTTTATATGTCTTTTTTTATCCTTTATTATTCTTGTTTTTCTTCACTACTCCTAGTCACTTGATTAGGCTATGTTGGGGCGATTTTCTCTTATGTGTATACATGGTCTTCATCTGTTAATATTGAAAATAAAAAAATTGTGAAGAAACTTGAAAGCCTTTGGGCGCAAGAGCAAGCAAATCCCATAGTCTTATTCAACTCAACATTTTCAACTCAAATGAAGATTTCTCTAATCCCATAATCATTTTACGAAGTAAAAATGAACCAAAAATATTATGTGAAGTTGCTTGATTTGGAGTTGATCGCACTCTGAGATTAAAGGTCACCTCAAATCAATATGTTTGAAGTGAAGACAAAAACTTTGATTTCAAGAAATGCATCATAGAGCCTGATTGAAACAACGCACACATCACAAACGTGAACACTTTTCAATAACAAAAATGAAGATTTTTTTTATATGATTATATTTTGAGCAAGGCAAGGTTTCATATTGAAGGAAGATAACAAAAAAGAAATCATAATCAAGAACAACAGAATAAAGAATTTTTTTATATGATTATATTTTGAGCAAGGAAAGGTTTCATATTGAAGGAAGATAACAAAAAAGAAGACATAATCAAGAACAACTGAAGAAAGTTGGACTAACAAGTATAAGTAGGAAAACATTCAATAAAATTATTGAGAGAAACCCACAGCCTCGCAAGAGGCCTATCTGCATTTGAAATTTGGCCTAACAACTATAAGTAGGAAAATATTACCAAAAATTATTCAGAGATATTGAATGAGGCCTAACAACTATAAGTAGGAAGATATTCCCCAAAAAGATTCAGAGATACCCACAGCCTCGAAAGAGGCCCTTGCACAGGGAATGTGACAGAACTTCCATAGCTGTGATGAAGATTGCGGCCCGTCCTTCTTCCAAAGACATCACACCTTGAAGCGCTTGAGATCTTCTCAGTCGAGCCTTAAGAACAGACAACCCTTTTTCAATGGGGTTCAGGTCGGGGCTGTAAGTCGGCAGGTACAAGAGGTGCACACCTTGAGCCTCACAGAGCTCTGCAACCCTGCCACCGTGATGGATGAGGGCATTATCCATCACTAAAACGGAATTCCTGGCAGGCCATGCGTTCATAGCAGGCAACTATGAAAAAAAGAGATAATACAAATCAAACTTGTGAAATATTATATATATAGAGAGAGAGAAGGATACCCACTACATCATGCTCTAAGTATAATTCAAAATCAATACGGGAATAACCACCCATTTGGATTTTACAAGCAATGATCCCGTCCATCGATATTGCAGGTAAGACCAACCACCAAACCGCCGCCGTTGGCCTCGCAAGACGGGCAGACCGTTCAACTATTGGCGCTCGGGCGTAATCGCGATATAATCCCTGCTTCGTGATAGCGCTTTTGTCTGGCGAGGTTTGGAAAAATATAACTGTCAAAACCACAAAGCGCAAGGTGAACAATCCAAGAAAAAAACCTCACCTGTAAAAACTAAGCATCTCGGATCAATTCCATGAACGGATGCTATATAAGCTCCTCGAGCAACCAAGGATTGGTTGGGGTGGACCGTGCGGGCCTTTTTTCTGGTCCACTTCAGGCGATTTCGCAGCTCATTAGACAGAGTCATTGTAGAGACATGAATGTCAAAACAATCTTGAATTCTTTTTTGTAACTCATTGAGGTAGAGAGTTGGATCCAGTCGAAGAGAATCCAGGATAAACTCCTGCTCAGCCGCGCTCAGATATGTCGGAGCGCCTCGTTTCATGTGATCCGCAGGGTTTGTGATCACAGCACAAGTCCTCTGGTATAGAGCAAACCACCGCCGAACCGAAGTAAGGGAAATTCCCACACCAAGGGTCTCGATGATCTCGCAATACAAAAGCCCTCGAAGAGCCATTCGTACCACCACCAATTTGATATCCGCACTGTAAAGGTTGGTTGGCATCTGGACAAATAAAAAGAAACATAAATAAAATAAAAATATACATGAACAGATCATGAAGAGAAGCAGTGTCAGCCTTTGTTATAAATCACACCCATGAATACAAACTGGATCTGTGCCCATAGAATGGGGAAAGGCTTGCATCAAAGACTACGGGTATGTATCGTCCCACATTTGGAATCCACACCCAGTTATCTCTAATCACTTTCTTTTCCCCAGTCTATCAGCAACCAGAACCAATTCGGAGATCATGAAAGCTTGGATGGAAAGTATGATGAATCGCAAGAACGTACGTTGAAGGAATCAATCAAATGACAAAATCAAATCAAAAGATGGGATTGATTAGACGGAATTGAATTGCTAGAAGGAATCGATTTGAATGAAGGGATGGTCTGCAATGATGGAACTAAATAGGGGATAAGATAAGGGTCTTTCACTAGAGGCCAGATTGAAACAAAAGAAGAAATTGAATGGAAACCCACCCAAACAACAATCCGAGAGAGAGAGCCGGATGAGGAGAGGGAATAGAGCAGCAGAGAAAAGAGAGGAAAGGGCGGTTCGAGATCAAACTCAATGGAAGGAACCGAGAACCAGCTTCAATAAGCTGGCTGACGGATGATATGACAGGTTGACGGATATGGAAGCACCAGCTACATGACAGGGGAGAGATGCCTTTGCAGGTCTCCCACGGTGATACTGCGGTTTTGTCCGGTCTCGAGTTAAATCCTGGTGCAACACAATCTGGGAAATTGACCAATAATTTTTTTAGTAGCTGTATTGATGAATCTGGTTAAATTGATTGATGGTTGACTCAATCTGATTAGAGGAATGAGGAAAGGATTTGGGGTGAGGCATGTGAAATTCAGGTTAAGAGCATCTCCAACGGTCCTGAATTGCCAAAAGACGTACAGGCTTGTCTGAATTCATATAGATCGCTGTATTTTTGTTTAAAAATGAATCCCTCCAACGGGCACACAAAGCAAAGACTCCCAAGGTCAAGCCCCTGCCAAATACACCATAAGCGCACGAGATCAACCCAATGTTGGTCAAACGTTATCTCTGACTGTGAAGACTTCCACTTTGAAAGTGGTGATACAACAATTCAAGAACAGAGGTAATCAATAATTTGACCTTGCTCTCAATTGTGGTGGTGATCAAAATGAGCCTCAATCGAGGTTTAATTCTTTTTGAATGTGGTCATGCGAGCTTACCACATTTGCGATCTTGAACGTACATACCATACAAAATGTGACGTTCTGATACCTTTCATGCCCCCCCTGTTCCATTTCATTTGTACCTGTTTTTATATCATTGTTCCACCGTTTTTGTATACATTTTTTTCATCCTTTATATCTTATCCCGAGTCCTCTCCAATTTGGCAATCCTATCCTTCACTTTCAAGATGAATGAAGGCATCATAACTGCAAACTTCCTAGCTCAATATGCTGTGTGCGCTGGCCTTCGAAGAAAATTTATTGCTGCTTTGGCTATTTACTCACCTGATGTGCAGGCGTACCTCTCCGTGGCACATATACCGCGGGGTCCTGGTAGTCTATATCCTGGAAGATCTCCCAATATGCTTAGAGATGCTGTTGCGAGCCATATTGGCCTAATGAAAGACTACTTTGATGCCACACCAGTATATAGTGAGCTTTTGTTTTGAATAAGGTTCAGAATGAGTAGGTGCCTCTTTTGCCAAATCACCAAGAAACTAGGAGAACAGGACCCGTATTTCACCCGAAGAAAGGACTGTACAGGTCTGTTTTTTGTATTGATCTATTTCTTTCACGTTTGATTTATTTATACTTTTGTGCTTCCATCCTTTTGATTCCAGGTAAACCACGTTTATCACCGTATCAGAAGTGTGCTGCCGCACTTTTCAACTGGGGTACGGCACATCTGCTGATTCTCAAGATGGATATCTTTGTATTGGAGAATCAACTGCTATTGAGAGTCTCAAGAGGTTTTGCATGGGGGTGATTCAAGCTTACAAGTCTCAGTATCAGCGCAAACCCACTCCTGACAATGACAAAAGGGTCCTTGCTGCCAATGCTGAATGCGGCTTTCCTGGGATGCTTGGCTCCCTTGACTGCATGCATTGGCAGTGGAAGAACTGCCCAAAGGCATGGCAAGGTCACTATAGTGGTAAAGGTGGCACTCTGTCTTTGGTTCTGTAGGTGGTGGCCACTAAAGACCTTTGGATCTGGCACTCCTTTTTTGGTCTACCTGGATACTTGAATGACATCAATGTCTTGGACCAATCTCACCTGTTTCATGATCTACCACTAGGGATTGCTCCTCCCTGTGAGTTCACAATCAATGGAAATGTTTACAAAACCACTTATTACCTGGCCAACGGCATTTACCCAGACTGGGCAACACTTGTTAAGACTTTTAGTAGTCCTGAAGACCCAAAACCAATGGTGTGTACCAATCAATTTTTAACTGTATCTTATTGACTGTGGGTTAGTATCAATCTTCAACTCAACTCGTCCTTGTCCTTGTCCTCCTACAGCTTTTCTCTCAATTGCAGGAAGCTGTCCGCAAAGATGTAGAACAAACATTTGGCGTGCTCCAAGCTTGTTTTGCAATCATCAAAGGTCCCTGTTGGATGAGGCAGCCTGCACATCTCAAGCTGATTATGAACTGCTGCATTATATTGCACAACATGGTCGTGGAAGATCAGGCAAATGAACCTCAGGGCGCCAACTATGTTCACATCTTTGAACCACCACCTATTCCACCTGTGCAACTACCCCGCACTTACGTTTGTTTCAAAGAAGGACGTTCTGCTTTCCGTAACCCACAAGCTCATCGCAATTCACGCGATGACCTAGTCAAACACTTATGGAATGTATTTTGCGCTGAAGAAGATTGATACTTATTACTTTAGTCTATATTATTATGAATACACTTATTTATTATTAAGAACACCCATATACTATATGAA